AGATTGATCCCGTAACTGACGAATGTAGCTTTCCGTTCTTAGTAAGTGCTTATTAAATACTGTTACACTCACCCGTAAAGTGGTACTTATGTTTTATTGTTATGTGAATCGGTGAGAAGCAGTTAACGGAAATATTCTATTCATTGAATTTATGCTTTAATTGAGTGTCACAATAGTTTAATGGCCCTGATTTAAGTTTATTTTTATATTTAATGTTAGGTTTGGATTTATCGGTTGAATTTTATTGTTTTACGAATGACTTTCGTTTGCTTAATCTTTTATTTTTAGTTATCTCTAAACATCACTCAAGGGATTTATTTGTATATTGTTAACCGCAAAGCAGCATAATGAGCTATCTGTGTTGTGCTCACTGTAAAAAATGAGTCCCGAATTTTACCGTAGTAAGCCATCAATTTTACCGCTGAAGAAATATCTCTTTGCCTGTTTTCCCTCCTGATAACTGTGCACCTCACATAACTCTAATGGAATGAGGAATTGCGGTAATCCCACGAAACATAAACAACAGAGCAAAATGTAATAAAAACTCACCCCTTTTCGGGGATTTTAAAGGAAATACTTAAAAAGAGGGCGAAAAGTGTAGATTTGTTGCTTCGTAGGGTATGTTTTGTCTTATTTGTGCAATTCGAAATAAATGCCTCTTGTTTCTCAAAGCTAGTTTTTTTAGTTTATTATAGAGGTTAACTGTTATTGAATTTGTTTAATTTTTACTCTAACGTAATGTTTTTGTTCTAGCTTCTTTTTTTTGGGGGGGGGGTAATATTATTTTGGTGTAGCACTGGTTAGGGTAACATAGTTATAAATTATAATTCACTTGTGTTAACAAGTAAAACAAACTTGAAATAGAAATATGATTTACTTTTATATTTGAATTCGTTTAAAATTAATCAGGGCCATAATTAGAAACGATAATTCACTTGTGTTAACAAGTAAAACAAACTTGAAATAGATATATGATTTGGTTTTTCATTTAAATTCGTTTAAAATTGATTAAAACCATAATTAAACTTTTATCAATAGAAATGAGAATCGTATCCGTGATTTAATTTTTTTTTGAATTCAAATACGAAGTTAAAAAGTTTCTTTTCTATTTCAAATAGTTATGCCACTTATTTTCGTCATTTTCCTGAAAGCAGAAATAATTTTGGTTTGCCTAGGCAAAGACCCTTTTCACAAGCCTATTTTATTATAACCGTGAAGTGATAACATACGTAAAGAGGAATGTATATCTTATTACATTAGATAACTTATAACTCCATTCTGCTATAAATACCTAATAAACGTTACATTATTGAAGTAGAAATACGTTTATTAATCAGCAACTGTTGGTAATACAGGAAGAATATGTTTCAACCGTCAAATTGTCCCATTTTCCACTAAGAAAAACAGTAAACGTTCGTGTGTACTCATCACTGCCTGTAATAAAAAGTCCATCTAACGGTTTTAATATCAATTTTATGATACGTTCTGTTTCCCGTAAGTGGATTATGTCTACTGCGTTTTTAATTTGATAAATTATATTATACTTTAACAAAAATGAATCATTTTAGCACTCATCAGAAAAATGATCGAATTTTATGAACTTAAGTTTTAATTAAACTAAAACCCTACCTGTTCTGACTAGTTTTAGTGAGTAGTTGAAACATCAAACTTTTGTATTATTTTTTTAATCACTTTCATAATGTATTAATAATAAGGTCATTTATCTTATGAAAGGGTAGATATAAGGGAGAGAAGGCTTAGAAAAATATAAATATGCCATTAATTTTTAATATTTTTAATGTCTCGAGTAGACGTTTCAAAATTAATTTTAAAATTAAAGTCTTGTGCAAATATGCTGGACGATATACTGATACATGTAAGTCAGACACCATCTAGACGCTTCACTTTTATTTAATGTTCTAGTGCGTAAGATTTATTTATTTATTTTTTGGTATGTGCATATTCGTTCAGATCATTTTTTTGAAATGTCTCACTCGTAATTTGTTTTTATTTCTTTGGTCTTCTAACCAAGAACACAAAAGTACAAAACTTGCACAATATAGGACAAGTACTCGTGGGCGTTTCCGAGGTGTGTGTGTAGGGGAACTTGCCCCCCTTGGAAAATGAGAAACATAATTCTTTCTATATTCATTCAGCATATGTATATGAATTCTTTTATTCACTTCACAATTTCACACTATTTTGTCTGCCATATTATAATGATATATTTTTAAGTGGATAACAATGAAACGTAATCTATGGTCTCAGAAATAGAAAGTAAAAAAAAGGAAAGATGTATAGGGTGAAAAGTAAATTTCTGGTAGAGAGTATAAAAAAGTTAGTATTAAATGTAACCAAACATGAAACATGAAAGCTAAAGGTTGCGAGAAGATTAATGAATACAATTACCAGGTATATAGGATAAGAAAGATATATAGATACCAGATACATTGAAAAATGGACTGTTGGGAGAAGTTGATAAAAATAACAGAGTGGAGAAGTGAAAATTGTAATGGCGAATAATCAATAAATAGGCACAGAGATAGAAAAATATGTAAAATGAGACTCAAGCTGTGTGGAGACTTGATATCAGACGCTCGGTGGAGTGAAACGATGAAGAACTATCATACGAAAATTAATAAAAAATAACTATCAAGTGGATTGAGTTACCACAAATGAAGAATGGTTCAACAAAGAGTAGAACATCGTGAACTGTGAATGTTATGGGAGGATTAAAGGAGATGTTTTTCAAAAATAGAAAAGTACAATAACTAGGGATCAACTAGTAAAATAACTAGGGATCAACTAGTAAAATAACTAGGGATCAACTAGTAAAATAACTAGGGATCAACTAGTAAAATAACTAGGGATTAACTAGTAAAATAACTAGGGATCAACTAGTAAAATAACTAGGGATCAACTAGTAAAATAACTAGGGATCAACTAGTAAAATAACTAGGGATCAACTAGTAAAATAACTAGGGATTAACTAGTAAAATAACTAGGGATCAACTAGTAAAAAGAAGACGGGTTACTGAATGGTAAATATTAGGTAAATAAATGAGTAGGGAAAAAAGAAAACTCATCAAAATTTAAAGTGAAACGAATAGACAATATAATAATTAGTAAGCATAAAAGTTGATAAATAAATAAATCATATTTAGTTTGATTTGAATTGATATCATGTCTGTGATCCATCATTTAAATACCATAAAATTCGTCTCCCGTTAGAGCAGCGGTAAGTTTACGCACTTACAATGCTAGAATTTGGGATTCGATTCTACGCGGTAGAGACGTCAGATAGCCCAATGTGGCGTTGCTCTAAAACAACCAACAAACCATAAAATATTCAATACATTTTACCTTGTAGACGTTGTTAAAAGACATGCTTACCTGTAACCAATGGGATTTTTTAAAAAATTTGTAATAACGTAATTTCATAAAAACACTATAAGTGACACTAGTATCTCACCTGGTATAGTTGCATGCGAAAGTTCTTCGCTTGTACTGATTTTAGGTACAGCTAAGTAACAAGAAGGTAATGGAACAAGAACTGTTTTGGTTCAGTATTCCCAGAGCCTGTTGTAGTAGTTAATCAAATTTCAAGTAAGTGTTATGTAATTTAATACCATGAAATTCACGAATGTCTTACCTTGTAATTGTTGATTAAAACATGTTTACTCATAAAACAATGAAATTAGTATAAAGTCTAACCTGGGATTTTTTTCACATACAAAAAAAATAATCGAAAATAAACTTAATTTAATTAGTTTTAAACATTTTTTTATTTGAACTTCGCGCAAAGTTACACGAGGGCTATCAACGCTAGCCGTCCCTAATTTAGCAGTGTAAGACTAGAGGGAATGCAGCTAGTCATCACCACATACCGCCAAATCTTGGACTACTCTTTTACCAACGAATAGTGGGATTGACCGTCACATTAAAACACCCGTACGGCTGACAGGGCGAGCATGTTTGATGGGACGGGAATTCAAACCCACAACCCTCAGATTGGGAGTCGAGCGCCCAAACCACATGGCCATGCCGGGCCTATGTAACAACTAAATATCTGGTTAAGATAAGAGCAATGTAACAAGTGAATATCTGTTTAAGATTGAAGGCACTATAAAAACCTTTTTTTTATGTGATATACGTAGATCAAAACTTTAAGAATTATCCCTACTAAATTCAGGATAGTCCATAATTTTCAATTTGACGAACAATGGCGTAGAATGTAATTAGATTTGTTTGTATTATTTGTATATATCATTTACTTTAATTGGACAGAATTCATGTTTACTCCTTTGTTTGGTGTTAAGCACAAAGCTACGCAATGGGCTAACTCTGCAGTGCCCACCACGGGTATAAAAACCCGGGCTTTAGCGTTATAAGACTTCAAACTTACCGCTGAGCAACTTGAGGGTTGGAGTTTTCGTACAAATATTTTAATGGGATAGAATTATCCATTACTTTTTCCCATAAATATTCAAACCCTAATATAATAGTTTCCCATGTTCTATTGTGAAGATAATTTAAAATTATACAATTGAATAACTAACATTTATAAAATAGTGTAACAAATTAACTCATTATCAGCCCTTTAATGGTGTTCATTAACATACCGATCTAGATTTATCATACTTCTTAATAGCTAATATTCCAGGTAGAAAGTAACCATTAAAAAACTTCATTGTTGGCTTATATATTATTCAATTCTTTTATTTACAAGATTTATTACAGTTGTTTTTCTTAACCCCTCATACCTTTGCACACATTTTAAGCAAAAAACAAATAACGAAGAAAATGAAAAAAAAATGAATTGAATTAACATGTTTTTTGACCTACGCATAAAAATGATTTTTTTTTAGCTAAACTGTTTTGAGTGTATTCAGTACGAATGAGATATTACAATCCTAAGTACAAACATTCAGTGTTTTATAAAACAATATACAATGAAAATTGTATTCAAACTTTTATTCTTTTATCAAGAAAGAGGCATAGTAAATACAAATGACTAGAAGTACACCATTGCGGAACTCAAGGAATCCGTTAGGCTTAATAAATCCAAATAAGATCAAGACAACTACATAAATAAAATTATCTACAATATTATTAAGGAATATCTATTCACTATTTAAACTACTAACTGTTCCTTATTTTAATTTTTTAGAAATCCATTTCAAAACTAAAACACTTCGTTTTTTTTCAGTTTTGAAATCTACACGTTTGGCTTTTTTTTCTATAAATAACGTGGCAATATGTGAGCATAATTAGAGCATAATTGAAATAAAAAAGTTGTTTTCAACACTGAACGTTGTATGGAAAATCACACACTTGTATAGCTTCATTAAAATAAAGCCCGGGAGGACACATCTGCTCAACTCTTGGCACTGCTCCACAGTTGATGTACTTTGAACAGTCAGTGGGACTACGAACTAGCCCAAAACTTCGTCTTGCACAAGGATCAGAGGGTTTAGGAATAGGTGTAGTCACTTTGTTATCTCGTGGATCACGTTCTGAAATCAGTGAAAATATCAATCTAGTTTTACATGTTGAATCTCAATAAAATTTGTTCTTAGCATTAATACGCATTTTGCATGTTTTGTGGATGAAATATGCTTCCTACAAAGTTTCGTACTTTAAGACAAAACTCACTTCGAGGTTTGAGTGTTCCAACTAGCATTGCAAGGTCCTATTTGATAGAAGAAGGTCAAATTAGAAATTAGAAGAATTTAACATTAGCTTCCGCTTAGAGAATTGGTGTCAGTAGGGATATTTCACAGAGAAGCTGGAAACCAAAGCCCCATACTTAATTGTATTTTGGAAAATGCATATGTTTTAATATAAGTAAATTAGATCTTAGTCCTGGACATCAAATGGACATGATGCAAGTAAATTAATATTAATTTCTGATCAAAACAAGCTACCTAAGTAAATGACAACTAATTACCATGAGCCTGGCTAATTAAACATAATAACCAAACTATAATTCTTATAATGACTAGAATTCATTGTTTCATCAGTTCATATTTTGCATATGTCGCCTAAGTACATACAAACTGACACCACTCTGTATACTATAAATTGGTAACATAGCCATTAGAAAACCTTTCTGGAAGTAATGTTTATCGATTTGCAAAGGAGTGTCTGTTTATGATTGTATAATATATGCAAAATTTAGCTTTGTAGCCAATAGGGGGATAATTTCTCGCAGCTAAGATATCATCTACAAATTTGTAACCTTTGGCCGTTAGCAGGAAGTTAAAACTTAGGACTTTAAGTTCATAGGCGTTCACATACATGTACTTTTCATAGTTATATTAGGACCTGAAGAATATTTTTAGGAGTCTTAGCATATTTCCCCCGGTGGTACAGCGGTAAGTCTGCGGACTTGCAGCACTAGAATCTGGGTTTGATTTCCCGCGATGGATACAGCAAATAGCCCAGTGTGTGGCTTTGATATAAAGAAATAAACAAACTTAAACTCATCGTATACCTTATAAAAGTACCATTTTCAGTAATCATTCTGAGACATGAGGATTTAAAGTGTGTTATCACTTAGAGGAGTACATTTCGCAGCTATGTTAAGCTATGGAGAATTTTAATCTATGAATCATAGTAATAGTTATTTTCAACATCTAATCTACAGCCTTATGACATTTGTTCCAAATGCATAACAAGATGGTATTATCATGTTATTTCCACAACCTTTACAAACTATGTTACAACCGAAAGTCATTTGCTTCGTATTAATTATAGAAAGAACGTTTTTCCGACCGAAAGACTTTTAACCGCTGATTTGGCTGTAATTCAGAAAATATTGCATGTTACGCCTGTTGTCTGCCTATACCGTTCTTAAAGTGAAAGATATCAAAACCAACAAAAAATCAACAGTGAGAAATTTGAATAATAAAGTGTAGAATTAAAATGTTTGCTTACAAATTTGTTTGTGTTTAGTTTTTTTATAGTATCCACTCACCTATAACGGTGCAATCATAATTTTCAGGTTTGTCACACGTCATCTTTATAGCATTAAACTTGAGACCTGCTGGACATATCTTCTTACAAGGTTTACCATCACTGGTACATTCGTAGAAGCTTCCACAATCACGAGGATCGGGCACTCGACATGCGCAGGATGGACACTTGATGTCAAGGTTCACCTCACAGATCGGATCAGGATCTGGGACTTCACGTTAGCAGCGTCAAATATTAATTGCATTATATAAATCTATAGTGTTGTTTATTAATTAAGCTACAACTGAAATCAAGATTATAAAAGATTGAGAAATAAAAAACAAAACGTTCAAGGTATATGACAAACAAAGATTTTTAAAGGTAAAACAATTTGAAACTAAAAGTACCACAAAATACAGAAGGTTACAAATCAGATTTTTTAAGCTTCCATTTCTTCTATCGCTATATGACTAACTAAGTCTATAAAAGGAGCTTGTTTTACCTAGGTCAACTCCACAGTCGTTAACGTTCCAAGGCCAATCACAGACCTTGAGGCGAGGATTGAAAAGCAAGGATGCAGGACAGTTCTTCACATAGGCAATACCATTAGAACAGTGGTAAAACTTACTACAGTCGTCCTTTTTGGCGAAAAGTCCATCTAGTTTCTTACACACTGGATCCTTACCTAGTTTTTCTAATGAGAAGAGAGTGTAACATTTAGATCCATAAATCGCTCTAGAACACAAAGTATAAGTAATCCCTTATATTTTCATTCACTGTTACATTCATGCAGAAATGTAGGAGCAAACGCTTGTTAACATGCCTGTATGACAGTTTAATAGTTACGGGTTATAATGCCAAGTAGTAGTATGTATAATATCAATATAACTATTGATTATTCGAATTAAGTAAATAGCTTTTTGAATATAATTACCACATCCGCCATTATTTGAAATGCAGGTCTTCCTAAGCTCATCAAACTTCTGTCCCCATTTACACTGTCTAATAAATGCGATGCCGTTGATACATTCCACATATTTATCGCAGTCTCCAGGGAAGATAAATTTGCCATTGGGCATTTTACAGAGACAGGGGTCTCCAATGTTTGGACATTCAACCTTGTTTAACTGGTCACACATTTTAGTGTCTTTGTTGAAATACAGGTCTTCAGAACAGTACATCTTTTCTCGCGATCCATTTTTACACTTGAAGTAAGACTGACAGTCAAAAGGATTCTGAGAAATACATTCAGGACATGGGCATATTGGGTCCTTCGTTGGCTCGACTGTAGTAGTAGTAGTAGTTGGTGGACAGACTAAGAAAAAATAAATAAAGCTCAAATTTAATTCACTGTTTAGTAGTCCAGCAAGACAGTAAATATTACACCATAATTCAATAGTAACATAAAGTGAATGGCTTCAAAACGTCCCGTTTCTATGGTGTGAAATGATGGATTAGCCAACTTGGTTTCAAAGTAATCAATTGTTTATGTTACAATTATGAATAAATCAGAAATGTAGTATTTTTCTCTTGACCGAGCCCTATAGATTACCTTGCCACTTCACAAGTATTTTATAGTCATTATTTTACACCTAATGCTGATTCAGTTCGGTCTAAACGTTTTTGTCTCTTATATGTGTTACATGATGTAAAGAAAAGTTGCTTGTTTAAAATATTTTGCGCAAAGCTACCTAAAGGGATATGTATGCGCATAATTTGAACTGATAAACTATAGAAGGAAGGCAGTTAGCCAACTGTAGCCCACTACCTTTTCTTGGCCCATGTTGCGGAGCAAGACGCGAGCCGTGAATCATCGAATTTACAGTCCGAGCCTCTGAAGAAGTCAGATCAAAAATACTCTAGGTGATTAACCAATGATGCTATATTGTCACTTTAATGTTCTAAATGTATTAATGAAGTTATGTTTTTATTGCTGGGTCCAATAACTTGAGCTTATGCTATAATAATTCATTTCGCTATATTAAATGGCATAGTATGTTGTGTTTTTTAAAACATTGCAATTGTTGCTTCGTATGAGTTACATTATGTAAATGACTGAAGCGTCCCAACATGTCTGTCATTGTTAAATCGGCATTACGAAACGAATAAAGATTACGACTTACATTGTTTGTATTTTTGTTCGTTTAAGTAAATGCGTGTTCTGTCACTATAATTTCACGTTTATGAATGCCCTAAATTCAATATATGGTATAAATAAACTTCGTTTCCACGTTCGATAACGTACCTGGTATAGAAGAATCACACTGAGCAACACAAGGCCACTCACAGCGTTTTAGGGTGTGGCTCCAGTGAAGCCCAGCTGGGCAGCTATACAGAGATCCTATTCCATTGGAACAGATCCAGAAAGTGGAACAATTCTCGTCATTCTTGAACATCCCGTTAGGTGTTGGACAAATGAATTTAGTAATTTTACAAGTGGCATCTTTTTCAAGAACACAATTGTTCAAAGATGGTTCGAAGAGTAAGCCTTCTCCACACTTGGCGTGGAAGGACCTTCCCGCCTCACACACGTAGTATTTAGAACAATCTTCTTTATCTTCCACAAGACAGCAGTCACATTCATTACAAACTGGATTTGGATCTCGGTCTTTTTCTGTAGTACACAACATCCACATGAAGAGCAAGCAACATAATTGATATAAAAATATATTAAACACTTGCCTCTAGATAAAAAATTTTACAAATGAGAAATTATATTCTACGGCATCTTCTTTCTTTAAATTAGATAAATGATAACACATACAAAACACTGGCGTGTCTGATACAGAGCGATTTTGAAGCTGTTTAATACACTTAAGTTCTAATTCGGAAATATATTCAAACTAAATTTTAAAATCTGAAAAAGAACAATGTAATAATATGTTTGTATTTAGTACAACACAGCCTGTGATATCTAAAAATATGCAGTCAGTTCTCATAAACTTTATAGGAACCAAAGATAAGTTAAAGTGTTATCTGGTTTTATCGTTCTCATGTCGTTATAAAGTTTGATTTACTGATCTCAAACATATTAAGCTTTACGAACAAATAAATTACACACGGGATTATTTTACATTTCTGGGCAGTTCATTTAATACGTAGTTTTCAAACCAACGTAATTTTGGATTTATATTTCATTCTTTAATGTTCAGAAGAAATCATTTTGTTAACACAAGATGAATGTTCATACACTTCTGACGGGAAGATTGGTTGTTTGTTTGTAGTTAGCACAAAGATACACAATGGGCTATCTGTGCTCTGCTCACAACGGATATCGAAACCCGGTTTCGAGCATTGTGAGTCCGCATATATACCGCTGTGCCACTGGGGGCTGACGGGAAGAATCACTTAAATTATTTCTTGTTCGCAAATTTTTCACAACTGAAGAGTATTTTTGAAGATAAAAAAACAGTATTTATTTATTTATGTGTGTGTTTTTATTTATTTATTTTAATAATAAAAGGTTTGAAGATTTTTAAGCATTTTTATTTTGTTCATTATTACACGTGAAATCGAGTATGCCAAATGTACCGATTGTAAAATCTGGGTCTGATAAGTGTGAAAAGTTTAAAATTTGGTTCTAATAAATATGGCAAGTGTCGAAGTGTGAAATCTGGTTGTGTGACAATAATGCATTCTCCTTTACGAATTGTGATAAGTGTGAAATTTGTTTTTGTAGGCTGCAAAAAAGTGTAAAATCTGTTTTTTGTAGCTATAACAAATGAATAAAATATCACCAAGTACAGTAGGTATTGAAAGTGTTTGTTACGGATGAAAGTTAAAAATTAATCATTTTTAACCGTACCACTCCAGTACTAGCTGGAGCATTTATAGGTATTTTGCTCTCAAACATCTGATGATTTTACTCAGCACAGATAATCGCTTAGTGGATCTAAATATCAAATAATTTTGAATTTAACGTTTTTTTCATTTTAATTGCCTAAATTTTTCTATTAAGTTAGGCAAAAAAAAACGGGGATTCTCTGAAATCAGTTGAAATAATTACACTAAAATTTCAATATAAATAATCCCATAATAATATCTGAATGTTAAATACTGTTTATCATAATTTATAATAGGCATAAAAAGTTTAAAATAAGTACATATGGATATAGCTTCCCTATGACCAAACTATTTTAAATATTACCTGAATAATATAACTGCTCTATTTTTGTTTGCTTCATTTGGTACGAGTTGAACGATTTGTTTTCGTAAAAATATTTTCACACATTTATTGAACTAATTTTCTTATGAACGAAAATCTTGACATTTACGAAGCGGAATATATTTTTTTAAATATGAAAGTCAAGTCATAGAAACAGGAACAATGAAGAGCAAGTAAAACGTCAGTATTGACTTGTTGCTTGAGGATCGACAAAAGTGTTTAATAATTCACTATTTATGTCCTCCCACATTCCAATTTGTTTAATAATTCACTGTTTATACCTTCCCACATTCAGAATTCTTTAATAATTCACTGATTACACCCTCCCGAATTCAGAATTGTTTGATAACCTACCACAACCAGCTCGTTCAGGCCGATCACATGACTTCAGGGTAGGATTAAAATGTAGTCCTGCCGGACAGTCTTTGATAGTAGGAATCTTCTTATTACAGTGCATGAACTTAGCACAGTCTTGGTGAGGGAATATTCCGCATGGTTCCGGACATGTTCCTGTTTTCTCACAGTCAACATTCTCCTCGAAGTCACAGTTCTCTATCTTGGGGTTGAACAAGAGTCCAATAGGACAGCGTTCTTTGTAGGATTTTCCGTTTTCACACCGGGTGAAGGCTGCACAGTCCTTGTCGTCAGGGATGAAACAACATTCACACAGGTCACATATTCCGTCAGGTTTGGGAGGTTTTGTTGGTACAATTCCTAATTATATAATAAAACTTTCATTTTAGAGAAAATAAAATATTATGAGTTTATAAATTCCCTTGTGAATATAGATAACAAATCCAAGCTCAGAGTAAGCCTGATAGATAACATTAATATCCTCACATGACCTATTCAAAATAAACTTTCTACTGAGGAAGATGATGAAGATAAATCCTCTACCCCTCACCAAATAATTTGGAATGTTTGTGTATACCTACAATGTTTGTTTGTTTGTTGTGAATTACGCGCAAAGCTACACGAGGGCTATCTGCGCTAGCCGTCTCTAATTTAACAGTTTAAGACTAGAGGGAAGGCAGCTAGTCATCACCACCCACCGCCAACTCTTGGGCTACTCTTTTACCAACGAATAGTGGGATTGACCGGCACATTATAACGCCCCCACGGCTGAAAGAACGAGCATGTTTGGTGTGACGTGGATTCGAACCCGCGACTCTTAGATTGCGAGTCGAGCGCCCTAACCACCTAAAATGTAAATGAACCAGTTTTAGGAATATCAATAACTAGTTCAAATCAGAACGATTATTTTCATACATTATAATTAATTATATAGCTTGAAAACAATAGCAAAAACTAGTGATTGAATGCATAGAAAAAACAACATGATTAGGTTCGTTATTTTATACATTACTGCTTGTAACACTTCTAGTACAACATCATACCTGTTTTAAAGTATATTCTTCCTTATAGAAAAAGCTGTAACTTTTACTAAAATAAAGATTAATGGCGGAACGGAATAGTCCAGTTCTCTTTTGCAACATTACTAACAACACTAAGAATATTTGAGTAAAACCTACACTGTTGCATGAGCAAAAGTAACTTAACAATAATGTACACACAAAATAATAATTAGAAGTTGTTAAATTATTGGATAGATAAAAATATTTTTGTTTATATGTTTTTCATAGCAACAATATATATATATATAAGATACGAGCCAGTAATTGCTAACTACTGTATCAGATTGAAATTAATGTCTACTAGCAGAGACCCGCAAAACATTTCCGGCCAAATTAGTATCTTTATCGTAACAGTACTTCTTTAAATATAACCCTTCTAGCACAAAAGAAACGAATTGTAATCGTAGACAACGAAATGTCTAAATCCACTTGTATATAGGCCGT